AGTCTTCTAATGAAGATCATGGCGGAGGCTTATTCAGCTCTTCCATGCCATTGTTGGCTTCAATGGTTTTTCAGCTACTTTAATAGTCAAGTGGAGATTCACGTTTTGTACCCCACATAAAGTGGTTTCTATTAGAAACGTCCAAAAAATAGAGGAAATCGTACTTGTGACGGTTTGGCAATCCATTGAATTTGGAGGGAACAAGATTGTGATTGGTGTTACATGAAGAAATCATCCATAAGCATTAAAGTTAGAACATTCGAGTTCTAAGACATGATTTTCATGAAAAATGTCGGGTTTTCATAGGTGTATTGTTTTAAGAAAACTTCGGGTTTCAAAGGCACTAAATTTGAAACTACAGGTTCAATTTAGTTTATGAACGTTTAGTTCATAAAAGAGAGGTTCCTGTAAGAACACAAAATGCAATATGTTGATTTAAGAGTAGTGGATATGAGGTTTTTCAGGAACTCAAGTGTAAGCGCTTCGGGACTACGAAAGGATGTCAACGATTCAAAGTATAAAAATAAAGTATTGAATCGTTAATGTCCAAAAGTGATCTTCAGGTCAATAATTTTGGATTCATAATCAGATTAATGGATTGTAAGTCACTTTTAATTAATTCAATAGATCAAGACCATTCAGGGTCGATTGTAGAAGCAAAAATAATAATAACATTCAAGTTAAAATTATTTAAAATGCAAAACAAAATCGCATTGGGTAAAAAAGGAATGCAGCCTAACACACTTTGGTTGGCTGCAATACACGACCCTGCAAAAATTGTAGGCCTTGGGTTACATTACATGGCTGCACAGCAGCCCAATTGGATTGCAGATTAGCAGGCCAGAAGACAGAGCCTATCGGTATAAGGTTTGCATGAAGTGTGGCATAAAGCGTGAGCAAAAGCCCAACCTAGGCTGGCTTTTGGGTCAGAGGTCGTGGGCCTGAAGCCTAGCATCAAGGAACCCAGTTAGTCGGGCTTGGTCATATACGCAAGTAGCAAGCCCAGTCAGCTTCTGGCTGAGGGAAGGTGGGTCGAGACAAAAGGTAAGGCTTAGCAAACATCAAGTTTGCGATAGTGGGCCAGGTAGGCTCAAAACCAAGGTCAGAGGCATGGTCAACGCATGCAACAAAGCCCAAAGGGCTGTTACCTTATAGTTCCAGCGCCCAAGGCTCGAGGTGCAGGCTCAGTTTAGGGTGAGTTTGGCGTGACGGCACGCGGCTCGAGCGCAAATTGTTTTTTCTTTTTTCTTTTTTCTTTTGACATAGTTAGGGTTTGACAAACCCTAAATTGCTTCTAATTTATTTATATTCTTTGACTCACAAATTCCACATAGCATAATTGCGTAATGCATGAAACAAATATATATATATATATATATATATATTGACAAATATATGAAACATATACAATATATATATCGGAAGGTAAATATAAATGTAGGGGGTTCATGCATCATGGGGAATGTTTTCATGCTTCATGGTCGTTTCAAATATCTTACTTTATTTTAAGCGTACCTGATTGGCAGAAAACGATAAAAGCCTTTGAATTTGTTGAAGATCATTCTTGAAAAGCCGGAATTGCTTCTCCAATGCGTTGTATTACGTTCAACAAAGAAAAATTAAATTGAATAAATAGTATGTAGATCAATACAAAATAATAAATTAATTAATCATGAAAAGGATGATTAAAACGTAATACTCCCCTGATTGAAGAATAAACTCTCTTTAGCGTAGCGTCAAGAGCGTGTTGATAATGTGTTGTTGGCATAATTTACTGAACAATTATGGAAGCCATAGAGAGAGAGAACGGTGCGGCAATAGTGGAGAGAAGAGAGAGATGTGTAATTGTGGGTGTGTGTTATTCTACCTATTGTGCCTTCATTTATAGTAGTAGAGAAGGTTAATTCCTTCCCTTTAGGATTACAACATTTAATAGGTAATCTACTCCTAATAGGAATATAAGATACATTCCCATATCTATTAGGATTTACACAATCACATTCCTATTCCAATAGGACTGCAACATATTTATATTTATGGCTAAATTTTTTTATCATGTATTTTTATTTTTAGTTTGTACCCATTTTTAATTTGCAAACCTTTTTTAATTTGTGCCAATTTTCTTTTCAATTTTAATTTGTACCCATATATTAATTTCTTTTTGTGCCAATATTTTTTAAAATTTTATTTGTATTTGTGCCCATGTGTTTACCGTCACGTGACATTATATAATTAATCAATAATAGAAAAATTACATATGGTATATTTATGTTTTATGGCTAAACTTTGTATCATATATTTATATTTTTAGTTTGTACCAACTTTTAATTTGCAACCTTTTTTTTTTTTTTTTTTTTTTTTTTTTTTTTTTTTTAATTTGTAGTATTTTCTTTTTAGTTATTATTTGTACCCATGTATTACTTTCTTTTTGCGCCCATATATTTTAAAATTTCATTCGTACTCATAATTTTTTAATCTTTTATTTGGATCCTAATTTATTTATAATGTACCCATTCTTCTTTATTAATGTGCCACTTTGTTATATGTGAAATGTACCAATTTTTTTTTTGTAAAGTGTACCAAATTTTTTAACACTATGGATATATTCTTTTGCCATTTATTATTTCTTGTTGTTACTAGTTTTTATCCATTTATTCAATCAAAATGTTTTAATTTTTTTATTGTAGTCGTTTCTAATACTATTTTTGTGACATCCCACATCGTCCAGGGGTGATCCTTAAATGTATATTCCCATCCCTACCTAGCACGAGGCCTTTTGGGAGCTCACTGGCTTCGGGTTCCATAGGAACTCTGAAGTTAAGCGAGTAGGGCGCGAGAGCACTCCCAGGATGGGTGACCCATCGGGAAGTTCTCGTGTGAGTTCCCAGAAACAAAACCGTTAGGGCGTGGTAGGGGCCTAAAGCGGACAATATCGTGCTACGGTGGTGGATCGGGCCCGGGTTGTGGTGGGGGCCCGGGCCGGGATGTGACAATTTTAATGAGGGATTTTAAATTTATAAGATTATAAATCTCATAAACTATCAAACAATTAATGTCAAAACTATAAAAATATTAATATCAATAGTAATATAATGAGGTGTACAATGTCAAAGGACTTTGATTAAACCCTGAATACTATTCAAGTTTTAATAAAAAAGTGTTAAAGACTAGAGACCACATCTGAATTATCGCATCTAAAAAATTAGTAGGATTTATTAAAATAAATAATGGTTTGACAATGATAACATTTAACAAAGCGAGGAATCTGAATTTGACTGAGTTAGGAAAATGGTATTCTGTCATAACATGTTGTGGAACTTAATAATAATGAAGCCTTTTACCAAAGTTACTTACACTTTTGTAAAGAAAAGAGTACAGTAGATATTACAAAATATATTCTTTCAACAGATCAGAAATAGCATCCAGGATGATCTTTAATATTTTAAGGGAATTGTTATTAGCATTTTAAAATTTTTATTTTAAACTTCTCACAAGTATATTTTTCTTTTTAATTATAGAAAATTTAAAATATTATATGAATTTTTTAGAATACTAATAACAATTATCTATTTTAAACTCTTAACAAATATCCCTTACTTGCGTGCATTATGCATAAAATGCATGAATGACATTCCTCTTTTCACAACCACATAATATTAATTTACTATAATTGTTTAGTTGTTTGACATGTATAAATAATTAAACGATTATTAAATTAAATAAATTTTTAAAAATAATTTTAAAGTGATGATAAATAGAATAACTGGTTTAAATGATAATATTTACATGATAAAATGACGTTGTCACGTCAAGAAATAACCACTTGCATGCAAACACTAAAATATTACCATTTCTTAAAGAAAGAGAATATACTGATCCATCATCCATGTGGAGTTAGAGATGGAGAGAGAGAGAGAGAGAGAGAGAGAGAGAGAGAGATTACATGGCAGCGGTAATTCGCCAACATCACCATCAACGTAAGATTGCCATATCCCCATCCTTCTTGGGTTGAAAACTCAAACACAAATATTATAGCTCCCAAACCTACAACCAAACGACAACCCCGCAAAAACCTTTTAGATTTTTACAAATAGTTTCCATCTATGGTATAAGTGATATAAAAACAAGGAAAGATGATCCTTATATTTCAGTTGTTTATCGTATCATCAATTTTTATCAGTTATTATTTGTATTTAATTTTAAGTAAAAAAAAATTAAATAATTTCTGATCGTATAATATACGATAAATGATTAAGATGTGAAGATTTTTAAGATCCTCATAATTTGAATCCAAATGGGATTCAAATCCAAAAACAAGGACCAAACGCTACAAGCAAACCAGTCTCTCTTCTTTTCTCTTTTGCAAAATTTTCAAAATTTAATTAAATGTGAAATGTCTAAGAGCATCTTCCAAAAAAACCTTTAAATTTTTATTAAATTAGTAAGTAAACGATGTTAAAAGTTTATTTTAGCCACTCATTTAAACTTTCATCATCATTGAGTTTTATTAATTTTTTAACATTGAGCATATGATTAATGGAAGAAGATCCTATTTGGATCCACTTTGTGAGGATCTAGGAATTCCTACATCCTAATCGTTTATTGTACGTGGCCAGTTTTCATCATATATTATTTGTGTTTAATTTTAAATAAAAATTAAATAATTTCTGACCGCACGATGCACGATGGATAGGTAAAATGTGAGAGACCTGAGATTCCCACAATTTGAATCTAAATGGGATCCAAATCCATGATTAATCACTATAAATTTAAAAAACAACTGTATTTTATTTATTATATAGAATTCATTATAGAGTGTGTAGGCGATGAATTTTTTAAAATGAAAACTAATAAAAATGATTTGAAAACTTTGAGTTTTAACGATAAGGATAAAATAAAAGGTAAAGTGAATAGTACCAATATAACCCACGTTTTTAATCAATTTCACAAATTTTTTTCAAAATTCGTCATAAGCCTATTTTTGAGTCATTGTAGCGGCATCACATGTTTTTTAATATTAACGTAGGACGTTCCAAAGATTTTATACACCTAAAAATCACTTTTGGGACCCGTAAATTTTTCCATTTAAACTTTTGAGCTGCACGATTCGCCTTTCTTCTAATATTTTTCTTCTGGTTCCGACTTATATCCCCATTTAACGCTTTTGCATACCCCGACTCCGATGCATCATTGTCTTTACCACCTGGAAGAATAAGAGGTGCTCTTAACTTTGTTGGATCCTTGAGCAGGTCTATCATTGACATCAACAAGATATTCTTTAGCTTCAAATTTGTGTATATAATCGACAGATGTCTGTGCAAATAATCCAATCCAACCAAAACATGATAACAAATCTCCTTAACCTTATGTAGTGGCACTTCCCAGTAATCACTATACTTAATCAGCGTCAATAGATTATCACCTAAGTACTCAAAAACCATACAAACATGTTGCCCATTCGGACCCGAATGCTTAAAATGGTCTAGAAGCTTCACTATGCATTTTTTATCATCTGGGTCTCCCTCTGCAATCTGTTTCAAGATGGTTATCTCATCCATGGCCGCCTCGATGTAGTGGTCAGCACTCTTTTGCACTTTCAGAGCAACAAATCTCTGGCATTTTTGTGCAATTCAACACCCACCCAACAAAAACAAAACACATTTGTCGTTAATCATCCATTAATTTACTTAAAACTAAGCATGTCAAAGATCAAAAAAACCAAGAACAAGATTAAAATTTCAATTACCTTCCCCCACATTCTCAAACGACTAATATCTACAACCTCAGGTTAAAAAGCAATAAAACGCAATGTCGTAAAAAGAGAAGAGAGAGGGAGAGAGGAGTACGAAGTGTTGGGTGCCCCAGGCGAGCCAGACGGTGGAGAAATGGCCCCAGCCGAGCTTGGTCTGAATGACATACCGTCCGTTCTTGAAAGTGTCACAGATTCGGACGGCGTGGTAGTCGCCGTGCCTTCGTCCTCTGACGTGTAGTCGCTACTCTGACTCAGATTGAAAATTTCTCAGAAAATTGAAAATTTTCCATGGAAAAATCAAGAAAACGAACCTGGAAATGCAGCGGTTATGGGAGAAGATCAAGATCGAACTTAGAGATGCAGCGGTTATATGAGAAGATCAAGATTGAACCTGGAGATGCAGCTGTTACGGGAGAAGATGAGGAGGAAGGTTACAGGAAAAAGCAGCAGCATGCAAAGAAAATGGAACGAAGAAGATTGAATTTTAGGGTTTGTTTTTTGGATGGTGTAAATATTAAAAAAGATAAGGGGTATTTTTTTTCTTAAAATATTATAATTTTGTGTTCCAGTGATATGGAACGAGTCGCTCCCGAGGGAGAGGCGGAACCAAAATTCACCCAAAACTCGTCCCGTGGAACAGCATGTTCCACCCGTTTTAGGCGCACCAAACGTGGGATGGAACACCTCGTCCCATTTCATTCTGTCCCGTCCCACGTACCAAACGGTACCTTAGGGTTGGAAAAAAAATACCAAAATTCCCAAACCGAACCAAAAAATTTCCGAAATCAAACCGAAAATTCTAAAAATTTCAGTACCCAACACCAAATCGATTCCGAAATTTCACTACCGGAATCGGTCTCAAGTTTTCAGGATTTCGGTAATTCCAAACCGAATCGAAATTAAAAAAATTATATTATTTAATTTTTAAATATATATTCGGAAATTTAATAGTCGTCGGATTCGGTTAAGATTTAATCTCAACTGTACAACACAAGGATCAAACCCTAAGAGAAATCACAACTCAATCACTCTCTCTCCGTCTCTCAACTTCAACTCGACCTCACCTTGCTCAAACAACCTTACCACCCTCCTTGACCTCACCTCAGACAACCTTGTCACCTTAGAATCCGGCCACACCCACAGCAAACAGACCCTATGATCTCTCTTTATCTCTCAACTTCTCATCCCTCAGACCCTGACTGTGTGAAGGAGTCTTCCTTCACGGCACAAAGGCAGAGTTACGGCCACTGATGCCGCTCAGCTCTTTGAACTCTCTCCCTCAACTTCTTCATCCAGATTCTAGTGCCTTGCACACCGATTCTCCCCCAAATCAGGTAAATTTTGGAATTAATTTAGGGTTTGTGAAATTTATATTAGAGTGAAATCTAGTCTTGATTAGGCATTGTTCTTGATTTTATTAAAAGCGTTGGTTGATTTTTAGTTTAGATGTCTGAAGTAATTCAATTTCTGTATTGATTTTTAGTTTAGATGTACTCTCATCTTTAAAGTGTTAATCTTTGAAGTAATTCAATTATCTGCATAATTTGCAATTTTGCATAATGGAAAAGGGAAAGTGTTGGTTGATTTTTACTCTCATCGTTGAAGTAAGTCAATTTGCATAATGGAAAAGGAAAGTGTTGGTTGATTTTTAGTTTAATCCATTAAATTTAGATTTTTTGGAAATGTACTCTCATCTTTGAAGTGTTAATCTTTGGCAAATTTTCACAACCTGCAGTTGCACCAAAATATACAGAACATTAAGGTGTGTAGTGCAATATAATTTGTGAATTGATTATCTGTATTTGTTTCAGCATGAACTCTTTTTGTATAAATTATTTGTCAAGCTTTACAATTGGAACAAGGTGGAATTGCGCCCTTTTGGCCTTATAAATTCTGGTAACAGGTAACATCATATGGTACCTGTTCGTGTGGTTGTGTTTGGAAAAAAAAAAAATTGCATAGAACCTAGTAGTGATGTGAACTTGGATTAGATCTTTAGGTCTTCAGAAAGTCTTGTAGCCAACTGTGTTATAAACTTATAAATTCATACAATTCCTTGCGTTTTCTTCTCCTGTAGTCCTGCTACTTATCTTTCTCAATCTTGCTTTTTTAATAGGATTTAGATAAAGCTTACAAATTCATACCCCAACTCTATAAAGAAAATTCAACCCAATAGCCCAAAAACCCAAAACTATTTCGAGATTCCCTATTTGTCCCGAAATCCTGAAACTATTTCGGCATTCTAGAAATTTGAGATTCTTGAAAATTTGGTTGGGGATCAGTCTTGAAATTGGGAATCCCGAAAACTTCAGTTTGGGAATCGGGATGAGGTTTTTCGTTCAGTATCCTATACCGAACTAACCCTAGGAACTAGCATATGGGCACATTTTGTGTGTGAGAAATTTTTTTTATTTTTGGTTTTGAAATAGAAGGAGAGAAGAAAAAAGTGATAGAAAATGTGGGAGTGGGAAGTTATTAATTTTTTTTAATTAGAGATATGTTAGGATTACACATAGGTGAGACTTTGAAAAAAAAACAACAAAATTTGGTTGTGTGAAATTACATTTCTGCCCCATATTTCTTATTCATGTTCTGTTTTAATTAGAGGGTTAAACGGTAATTTCATAGGATTTTGGTTGACAATGAGTGTTTTATTAATTAGTAGAGATCATTATGTTCGAATCTCATGCACAACCAATTAGATTTGATGTCAATTGAATTCCTTCCACCTATAATTTTGTTCCACGGATGAGGATCTTGGATCCTCTCATCCTAAGATCTTCACAATCTATCTATTTATGGTGTATTTTGTGGCTAGTTATTTTCCGGTACTATTTTTGTTTAATTTTAAATAAAAAAATTCAAAATGATTTATAGTTATACGATGTATGATAAATGGATATGATGTGAGATCCTAGGGATCTAAATCCTTCAGCTATCAGACGGAGCACTGTAAAATAAATATGAGTATGTTGTAGCCTATTTTATTTGACAAAGAGAAGGGGCTAGCATCAAGTGTAGAGAGAGAAGAGAGATGTGTTTGTAAAATCGTAGGGGAATTGTGTATTGAGGATATGTTCTCCCTCCTACATCGTGCCTTTATTTATAATAGTAAAAGGTGAGAAGAAATCATTCATCCTCAAGGAATACAAGTCCATTGATAGGAGCATATTCATGCGGCTTAAATGGCTTGTTCTCGTGCATTTACGTTATGTTTCTCTCGTTATTTTAGTCCTTTATGCTTCTTTTGTGTGTTTTCAGGTTCTAAGGGCTTAGAGAGCAAGAAAGTGCATTTTGAGGCTATTTGGAGCATTTTTGTGCATGGATTGGATAGCTTATCCATGGAGCCAAGTAGATGGACGAAATTGAAGATCACTTATCAAACCATTCACTTATCACTTCCATTCACTTATCACTTATCACTTCCATTCACTTATCACTCACCACATATCATCTCATTTCATACACAACACACCACAAATGCTTCCCTTCCTTCTCTAGCCGTGAGTCTCCCTTAGAATCCAAAAACCATTCTTCCATTTCCACCACTCCTCATCCACTTCCATAATTCCACACTTCCATCCCCCCAACCAACTATCCCTAGACCTTATGCTACAATGAAGAGGAAGAGAAGAGTGCCTAAACGTTCATACAATTCAAGTTTGAGTTGTTGGAATGTTTAGGCGTTTCTTTGATTTCAATGTTTAATTTCAATTCTCTTTGTTTTGTACGTATGAGGAACTAAACCCCCCTTAGCTAGGGGGTGATTCGAAATATATGTTTATGCTTGCAATATGATTTGATTACTTTTAATTACGTTTCATAAGTTGTGAATTCAATTTGTTTAACTATTTGATTGATATCCTATTTATGTATGTTTATTAAGAATGAACGCTTAATTTTCATGCATGAATTTGACGCTAGAATATAAGTGAGTTTCACGTAATAGTTATGAACTTATATTCATAAGTAGTGGAGGTTGCTTATAAACAATCGCGTTAAACAAATTCTTGGCATAAGTTTCATGCAATCATAGTAACGAATGCCTCGTCAACACTTATAGTTTTCATGTTGCTTAATGATTCTTGCTTGTATCTCTATTATGCAATTCATGTAGGGAACTTGTGAGGAATGCTTTGGGTTGTCGTATGCAATCATCCAATTCATTAACTTAAGGAAAACTTGACGGTTAATTTAAGCGGACCTAATTAACCCGGAGCGTTGAGAATTCATGGTTTATTGAAATGCAATTAGAAATCTTTTTATTATGCAAGTGTAACATGTGTGGAGATGAACCCCTTGGCTAGCATCCATTCATTCCATTTCATCAATTTCATATTTACATTATGTTTTAATTGCAATTTGTTCATTTAGTTTAATTCCGTCCAAAACTCAATCCCCCTTTACTTTATTGTTCAATTTAGTTAGAAATCAATTTAGTTTGTGTTTTTAAAGTATTTTGAGTCTTTTGGTTTGTCTTAGTGTTTTAACGTTTAGTTTCACATTCTTTGAGTCTAGTTTAGTGTTTTATATTGTTTTTACGTTTTTGAGTCAGTTTCCAAGAGATTAACAATCCCTCCTAATCCCCGGTCCAGAACGATCCCTACTTATACTTATACTACAATTGACAAAAAGAGGGTTTAATTTGTGCGCGTATAATTCTCGCATCATCCATGTAGGAAAGAATAACTAAAATCAAATCTAATCTACGATTTACACAATCACACTTAAACTGGGAAAATTCACAACACTCCTCTTTGAGTGTGTAAATACTCAAGGTAGATTTCAGCATCATGCAGAAGTTGAGGAAGTCAACTCATCAGCACTGATTTTATGGAACAATGCTTATTCTCAATAAGGTAGGAACCTGGCTATGGCAAAAACCCGAGTAGGGACAAAATCCATAGTCTAAGGAAAAATGCGTGAGAAATGCAAAAGTCAAAAGAAACGTCTACATGACGTCATCAGGGATATGACCAGTCCAAGGTGGGTGCCTCGTTAAAACCTAGTTAGGTAGCAAAAACCCAGCGGGAAAAATGCTTCTAATTGTAGGGAAAAAGAGTACATTAAGATCAAGCAAGTATTATTCAGGATACTTCCCCTGAGTTTGACACAATTCCAAAGAGAAATAGCAATGTTACATAACTCAGAAAGTTTATGCATACCAATTCCTTGAACAAGCTTATGAAACGTCGTATTCGGTAGTGATTTGGTGAAGAGGTCGGCCAGATTATCTTGTGAATGGATTTGTGTGACTTCAATCTTCTAATCTCTTGTTGTTGATGTGAGAAGAAGAACTTCGACGCAATGTGCTTGGTATTGTCTCCTTTGATGTAACCTTTCTTATGTTATTCGATGCATGCTACGTTGTTTTCAAAAATCATCATAGGGACATCTACGACTGGGTAAAGATCACATGAGCTTTGAATATGGCCCACAACTGCTCTTAACCAAAAGTATTACTGAGTTGCTTCATGTAAGGTGATAATTTTAGCATGGTTAGATGAAGTGGCAATTAAGGTCTTGCCAAAAGATTAACAGTGAAGGAGATGTCTAGTCTAGTGCATTGAGCTAAGTACAATAAAGCTCCTATCACACTTAGATAAGGAACTTCAGGCTCCAAAATCTCTTCATCATCATTCTTCGGAAGGAAGGGATCTCATTTTGCATCTAGCGATTGAATGAACATAGGAGTACTT